ACATGTGTATGGCGAATAACTGCGACATAAATGATTCACACGTAAGTAATCCGTCGGTATAAAATACTCACAACTCACAAGTGTGAAACTAATCCCAAATGATAGTGAAATATACCTGCATGATGGTGAGTGAGCACACTGAGAGAGCGACTGGTCCGTAAGGTGATCCCGACCCGATTGTGTTGTGTTCCTCTCCACGCCTCTATTATATGGCCCCAGACACGTGGTTCAGACGTGGGGGGCCTGCTTCAAACGTCACTATCTCCACAGAGGCAAAATATGCTGGCTTGAAGCCAAGATCGTGTTGTGTCGATAAAACATGTTGACAATTGAGGAGCCGCTCAGGGTGACCTCAGGAATGCAAAAAGAACGGATAACGTCAACAAGGAACTTCAGCTGTATGCAATAGGGCTAATCTGTCCACGGATTTCTAAATCCACTTAAAACACGGTCTGAAACATTATTAATATGTTAATAAGAATGTTTAAGATCTGAATTATTCCTTTCTTAGTTTGAATACAGTTCTGGATGAATGTTAAACTTGGTGTTATCATGGTTGAGTACAATTAAGCACTCTATATGGAAGAGCGTGGGAAGCAGAGCATCATATCTCCTCTTTGTATCTCGGTGAAGCAAGGTGAAGTGTTTATTGACTCATAATTTGTGCATACGTTTATTACTTTGTATAAATGTACATCTGTCAGCCTGCCGACTTTGTTGCGCGCCCCATACAAGTTTGACATTTCTTTGTGTTAAACAATGGCTCTGCTAGTTCCTGTTTACACTCTTCTAACTACAATTTCCGGTGCGTATATACTCTCCCGGGAACAATGTGTACACACCTGGCTCGATTGTGTACTCTTCCGAAACCAATGTACATTCTTCTGGAACTAATGCTTACTCTCCAAAGACCAGTGCACGCACTTTCTGAACAAATACACATTCCAGAGACCAGTGCATAGTGCACACACACTCTAAACAAATGCACACACTTCCTAAATTTGATCAATTGCGCCTACTCTCAAAATAAAAGAACTTTATATCTTCGTAAACCTGCCTCTAGCTGTAGAAACTCTGTGATGGCTTTACCTCCAAAGCTCTACTTAAAAATCTCCCTAATTCCCCTACGTCTTCTTGATATGAGGACTGGTCTCTGTTGAACATTAAATTCAGCTTGAAAAATCATCAGGACAAATGAAGGGACAAGCCTCCGGCTTCTTGTCCCTCGTTGAGGTCACATAAGTGCTAGTGTCCCTGAGGTAAATGCAGGTAAATATAACTTGCCTTTCGATAAACTAACACTTTATAGTGATCTCACACACTGCTACGCCTGCTTCTAGTGATGCTGATGCTCATTCTTGTCTGGTTCATCATGTCCTCTCCAGTACTTGGGTGATACTCTCCCCAGTGACAGACTTCAAGCACACAAAAGGAAGTGTTAAACTGGCTGATACCGACAATGCTCTCTTCTGTCGTGTTATGAACTCCAATCATCCTATAGCTTGGTCTTCCAAAATAATCTTTCCTGTCTCCACTCTAGAGACGTCATTTTGTTAATTAAATCGGCTCTAATCGCTGTTGATTCCAGCCTTTCTCTGTATATAGTTAAATGCACTAATCTTATCGAACGTGATCCGACTTAGCTGTATAACTCTTGTTTCTATATCTTTCTGTCTCTATTTTGGTTCTCTACCTTATTTTAACTTTATTTCTCTTTCAACTTAATCTTGCTGTTATTTGGCCCATTTAGATTATATAGTTCAGTTTTGGTCCAGACTATAAAATGAATAGTACAAAAGTAGTTTACTGGTGGTACATCACTATACATTGGTACTTTCGACCAAACTGAGCCCAACCACTTGGGCTGGACGGTAGAGCAACGATCTCGCTCCATGCAGGTTGGCGTTCAATCCCAGACCGTCCAAATGGTTGGACACCATTCCTTCCCCCCGTCCCATCCCAAATCCTTATCCTGACCATTTCCCAGTGCTATATAGTTGTAATGGCTTGGCTTTTCTATCCCTTGATAGTTCCCTTCCGTTCCTGTAAGTACTATTATTTGAGGAGGATAGGCTGTTCCCTTCCGTTCCTGTAAGTACTATTATTTGAGGAGGATAGGCTGTTCCCTTCCGTTCCTGTAAGTACTATTATTTGAGGAGGATAGGCTGTTCCCTTCCGTTCCTGTAAGTACTATTATTTGAGGAGGATAGGCTGTTCCCTTCCGTTCCTGTAAGTACTACTATTTGAGGAGGATAGGCTGCAGTGTGGATAGCCTGTGTTGTGTTGCTCTCAGTGTTTTATTGTTGCCCATATAAACACCCTGTGAGCGGTATTGTGCACCAAATCATTATATTGTGATCAGTAGTTTATTGTGCACCCTATACTCATTCTGTGAGCAGTAGTTTACTCTGGACCCCCTTGCTCATATTGTGAGTGGAAGTGAGAATTCTGCCGTTTTTGCGTGAACATGCGTGTGTATACGTGCTTATGAGCAGCTCTGTATATGGTTGTATATATGTGCGTATAAGCTCTGTGTTTGAATGTGTGTTTTTGTATATGAGCTCTGTGTTTGAATGTGTATATATGAGGTACGAGTATGTATACGTATGTATGGGAAACCATACAGACGGTGCAGGAGTGGTGGGTAGTGACTGTTATCGTAACCTTGGTAGACGAGGCCACTCCTCTTGTACTCTCGCTTGAGCAACATGTTTATTGCCCTATCTTCGTGTACTCGATTATGTACACATCTGCCCTGTGCTTCTCAACATCGTGTTTTAGCTCCTGGGTCCTGCCTCTCAAACCGTCTGTCGTCTGGTGTGTATATTCTTCAATGCTTTAGTTCTGTTGGACCTACTTTGAATCTCCATGTGAAATTTGGGGGTTGTTTTCGTCCAGTGCTTTACTCCCTAGTTCATCCAATGGCTCCTCACTAGACGAGGTGTGCGCCACTCTCTACTATAGAATGAATAAACAATTATTTAAATGCGCGCAGAGAAGTATAACAAAGTTAATTCTGGAATAAGAAACCTCTTTTTATGAAGAGAAGTTAAGAGTTTAATTTACGTTTAATAGAAAGAAGAAGAAGAAGTAGGGTTTTAACCCAACTTCTTAACCATCTAACCACTTGGACTGGACGAAAGAGCGATGGCCTTGCAGGTCAGCGTTCAATCCCCGACTGTCCAAGTGGTTGGGCATCATTCCTTCCCACCATCTCATCTCAAATCCTTATCTTGACCCCTTCTAAGTGCTATACAGTCGTAATGGCTTTCCCCAGATAATTCTCTCCCTTCCCTCGGTCAGTTAAGTGAAGCACCGTTGAGTCTTACCAGTATCTGGATGGATGACCACGCAGGGAGCCTAGGCTTTCTTCCCCTCATAGCTCCGGGGACCTCGAGGATGTTATAGACCTCCTTGTACCGTTGTGATCATGTCTTCCATGCTTCTTGTCTTCTCTTCTCCACGGAGGTTCGGTTCAATTGTGTCCTAGTAACTCATGCCTCCCATATCCGGGACCAGTCAGGTTGTACCCAGTATATCCTAGTGTGTGTAATCTTTATTTAATCAACACAGAAACGAGAAACATAATATTTGATGTTTTTCTTGCGTATTTTGCTGATATGTTCAGCCTTCAAGTAATTAATTCTGAACACAGTTGGGGTCCAAAACAAACTCCCTGGATGAGTATGGGGTGTACAATATTCTACTGCTCATAGGATGAATATGGGGTGTACAATATACTACCACTCACAGGATGAATAAGAGGTGCACAATAACCATTAGTTCACGGGATGAGTATAAGATGCACAATAAACTACCGCTTACAGGATGAGTATACCGTGTAATATACACGGTATACTCATCCTGTGAGTATACATGGTCACAGAGTATGTGAGTGAGTATATTAATCACAGAGTGAATAGCACAGTTGGGTTCATCTCGACATACTCTGGAATTCCGGGTTCGAATCCCAGGCGGAACAGAAACGGTTGTGCACGTTTCTTATCACCTAATGTCCGTGTTCACCTAGCAGTAAACAGGTATCCCCAGGAATTATAACTGACGATAAAAGGGCAGCTCACACTGAATAAATACTTTACATCAGTGATCACACTAGAGAGTTTAGACAGCATCCCCATACCCACACAAATGTTTGAAGCAGGTGAAGAGAATGAATTAAGGAATGTCCCCATAACATGGGATATAATCAGAAAAAGCATTGACAAACTAAGAGATTCAAAAGCCCCAGGTGTTGGCGGAATTTACTTATTTATTTATCTATTTATTTACTTATTTATTTATATACAAAAATGTACATTGGGTTTGTGAGAATACATAGCATAGTATTTACAATCTTGTAAAGCCACTAGTACGCGCAGCGTTTCGGGCAGGTCCTTAACCTGGAATTCAATCCAGTCATTAAGGAACTGGCAGATGCTGTATGTCTGCCAATAAAACTCATTTTCAAACAAATCTCCAGACTAAAGGGATAGTTCCCCTAGATTGTAAATATGCAAGTATTAACCCTATTTTCATAAAAGGCAGCAAGAGCTCAGCAGAAAACTACCGTCCGGTTAGCTTTACCTCACACATCTGCAAGCTCACGGAGAGAATCCTAAGGGAGGAAATCATTCACTAGTGTTAAGGTTAGGCTGCGTTACGTCGCCTGAGTATCGTCGCCAAGAGACGATACTGTAAGTAGATTTGCCCGTGACACCTCATAATGGAGAGACAATTCTCCCATTTCCATGTGTAAATACATTTTGTTTATGTGTTCTAATTTCAGTGAATAAATTCGTATGTTAAGCACATGGTGTTTCAGAAATATTTTCTCCCTCATATTTCAGACTTTAGCCGACTCAGTCCCACAAAAGAATTCTCCGCCATATTCTAGCCTTATAAAAAACAATCTTTTTGATGAACCGATTACTGTGATCTCCTGCAGCACCCTGACATAGATACGACTAACATCTGGCAAGATCTCAGGATCTTGTACCGTTGTTGTTGTTTAAGATTCAACTGCTGCGAACTAAATGTTCCAAGTAGCACGGGCTATGGTGAGCCCGTAGTGGACTTACCTGGCACAGGAGCGGGGCTGTAACTGAATCTCTTGTACCGTTGTTCGAGGTATTTCATGTTGTTGACAACTTCTGCGAACGTCTTGCACACCTGTCCTAGCCTAGTTGCAGTGCACCAACATTAAAGTAATCTCGGACAATCTACTGATAATCCAACAGGGTGCGCTTTATTTTCCATTTCTCCCCATCTTGCATAATTGTCATTCCATATCTTCCCTGACACCCCTTAGCTGACTTCTTACCATTGAATAAACTATGCAGTACAAAATAGGCAACTTAATTTTATATAATTATTATAAAGAGATCGATTGACTAGGCGGATTGACAATTGAGGAGGGTTGACTAGGCGCCAATCCTTAACTGTATGCCTCTGTTCATCCAACAGTGAATGGGTTGTTGAACGATTTGACGGGTCGTATTCTGGGGTAAATTAGGATTAAAGACTTGCCCAAAACGCTACGCGTGCTAGTAGCTTTACAAGAATAAAAAATGTAAGAACTCTTGTATATATAAATATAATAAAATAAGCAAAATTACATTAAAAAACTACACCGAAATTGACATTTAAGTTCTTATGTAGTTCACCATAGCGAACCCTTACACATGCAAGGGCTGCGGCGTATGCAAGGCTGGCTAACATCAGAACTGCCTTCAGGAACCTGTGCAAGGGATCATTCAGAACCTTGTATATCGCATATGTAAGACCAATCCTGGAGTATGCGGCCCCATACCTTGCCAAGCACAAGACGAAGCTTGAAAAAGTTTGATATATGCCACTAGGCTAGTCCCAGAACTAAGAGGCGTGAGTTACGAGGACAGGCTGCAGGAAATGCACCTCACGACACTAGAAGACAGAAGAGTAGGGAGAGTCATGGTCACTACCTACAAAATTCTCAGAGGAATTGACAGGGTAGATAAAGATAAACTGTTTAACACGGGTGGTACGCGAACAAGAAGACACAGGTGGAAACTGAGTACCCAAATGAACCACAGGGACGTTAGAAAGAACTTTTTAAGTGTCAGAGTAGTTAACAGATGGAATGCATTAGGCAGTGATTTGGTGGAGGATGACTCCATACACGGTTTCAAATGTAGATATGATAGAGCCCAGTAGGCTCAGGAATCTGTACAAGTTTCAAAGCGTTATATGACAAAGAGTGCTGGGAAGACGGGACACCACGAGCGTAGCTCTCATCCTGTAACTACACTTAGGTAATTACCTGTTGATTGACAGTGGAGAGGCGGGACCAAAGGCCAGAGCTCAAGCCCCGCAAGCACAACTAGGTGAGCACAATGATAGCGTTGGTTAGTTTGTTTTCGTGCGTATTATTGAATTGTTTGCGTACTCTACCCGGGCGAGTGTTTTCTGGATGTTATCACTGATAAGAAGGGGAGGTTATGACGTCACGTGACCACTTAACCCGAGGGATACTACAATAATCTGGTTGTACAACTTGAGTGCTCGTCGTCACAACCCAAGGTGAAAATCAGTATTACTAAATATCTCACTACATGGGACAATCATAATCATTTTGTAATCAGGGCCTAATTCCTGAATGTCTTGCGAATATATGACTGCTTATGAAATTGCATTCATTGGAAAGGCGAAGAGTTAGGGGTGACATGATAGAGGTTTACAAGTGGATGAATGGACATAACAAAGGGGATATTAATAGGGTATTAAAAGTACCAACACAAGACAGATCACGAAACAATGGATATAAATGGGATAAGTTTAGATTTAGGAAAAACTTGGGTAAATACTGGTTCGGTAACAGGGTTGTGATTTGTGGATCCAATTACATAAGAACAAAGGTAACTGCAGAAGGCCTATTGGACCATACTAAGCAGTTCCTATTTATAACCACCCACTCATATACATGTCCAACCTACGCTTGAAACAATCAAGGTATCCCACCACCACGTTACGCGGTACAGTAATTGGTTCCACAAATCAACAACCCTGTTGTTGATCTTCCATTTTCTAATAAGACAATTTTTGGCTTTATGTTACGCATAAGATCGAAATGCGACGCTCTTTGTAAGAGGACAGGTTGTTCTAGCTAGCCCTGTGGCCTTCGACTGTTCCTGGTACGAGAGAGTCGACTTAGTTCTGGAATGATTTTTGTCGCCCAATGTTGATTTTTTCAAAAGCAGCTATATCTTTCTGAAGATGAGATCTCCATGCTTGAATATAATAATCCAAGTGCGGGCGCACCAAAGATCTACACAGTTGACTAACTTCCTTCTTTTCCTTGACGTCAAAGGTTCGCTTGACTATTTCTAGGGTTTGGTTAGCGTTTTTTAAAGCAGTCCCCCACTTGATATGCAACTTTCAGTGAATGATGAATTCTGACTCCGAGTTATTTTTTCATCAATCTGCTACAAGGTAATGTTGTTAATCTGGTAGTTGTGATGTGCATTGTTATGTCCCACATGCAAGGTCTTGCATTTTTCAGAATTAATAAGCATTTGCCAGTCTTCCGACCACTTGAGGAGTTCATGTAGATCTCTTTGTACGGCCTCAATATAATTTTCATTTCCTACTTTACCATGCTATTATTGTCATCTACAAATTTGATGATGTGGTTTGTAATATTCTCGTCTATGTCGTTGATGTATGTGACAAAAAGAATTGGCCCCTAAATAGACCCTTGTGGTACCCCCACTCACCACATTACTCCAGTCAGATTCCTCTTCGTTTAACACGACTCTTTGTTATCTTTGTTTTAACCTTTGTTTTATGCATTCTAGTATTCTACATTTATTCCATGTGCCTGTAATTCCCTTGCTAGTCTTTCATGTGGTACCTTACCAGAAGCTTTAGCAAAGTATACTTTGCTAAAAGTATACTTTTGGAAGTATCTATTGGAAGTCCTTTGTCTGAATAGTTTTGCAAAGATATGAGGAGGTTTGTAAGGCCGGATCTACTTGTAACACACCCATGTTGTGTTGCTTTTATTATATTATATTTTATTATATGCCCGAAACGCTTTGCGTAATAGTGGCTTTAGGCATTGTATGTACTAGCTATACCTATAAGTTAAACAATCCTTGTAAATATTTATTGTATGTATGTACCTTACCTAAATAAAATTGTATTGTATTGTATTGTATTGTATTGTATATTGATCACTGTGAGATGGTGAATGATTTCCTCCCTTAGGATTCTCTCTGTGAGCTTGCAGATGTGTGAGGTAAAGCTAACCGGACGGTAGTTTTCTGCTGAGCTCTTGCTGCCTTTTATGAAAATAGGGTTAATACTGCATATTTACAATCTAGGGGAACTATCCCTTTAGTCTGGAGATTTTTTTGAAAATGAGTTTTAATGGCAGACAATATTGCATCTGGCAGTTCCTTAATGACTTTCGGTTGAATTCCACCCAAACCTCGGGCTTTTGAATCTTTCAGTGTGTCAATGCTTTTCCTGATTATTGCTGTGTAATACACAGCAATAGAGTTATACAGCAATAATGTGTATACCTAAGTTTAATAAAAAAACAAGTGATGACCTGAGTTTACCTGAGAGCCACTAACACTAGTGGCCTCGACGAGGACAGTTTTGTGGCCTCGATGTTTTGTGCTGCCCGTACATATAATTCTCGGTTCTAAACATATCATAGCTCTTTATACTTGTGCTTTCTGGCCTTTGAGTGTCAGCGACTGCTCTTACGGCTTTTACAACAGAGATTGGAATGCCCATGTCCAGCTCAATTTCAGGTTTATCACATGCAATTTTTAGCTGCCTGGTCAGTGTCGTCATGCTGGACATCACCTATGTGAGATGGTGCAGCAGTCCCGGTATCGTGGTGTTAAAACACTCCCTCAGCGCTTTGCAAGCGCTTTGGCCTGGGCTGGTGACCAGGGAGGATTTACTTGGTGCCAACTGTAGCCTCTGCTTAGTCAGCAGTGAATGGGTACCTGGTTGTTAAACGATTTGGCGAGTCGCATTCCGGGGAAAATTAGTATTGAAAATTTGCTAGTGACTGTACTTTGTAAGAACTCTTGTATATATAAATAAAACAAAATAAAAAGTATCCATACAAATGAGACTCTGAAACTCTTGCTCTGTGTATTAATAATGTTGTTTATAATGGATGTTACAACATTCCGTATCTATTTTGCATGTTGGGTTTTTAAGTGTTCGAGGAGTTGACTTTGAATTAAACCAGGAAATGCTAGGCATCATCTGTATAAAATAATTAATATATGATTATAAAAGAGAATAACAGAGGTGAGAGAGGAACACATTCATATCGACTGACAAGTAGATAAAAATATGCAGTTCCCGAAGGTATAGGGCAGGAGGCGAGTTTATTGTTTGTGTTAGAGTCAGGGTGTCTGAGGCGGTGGTTGAGGTGATGGCCGCGGCGTTGCTGGAGCGCTACACGACATCGATTGTTTACCTCGTCTCGCCTCTCTCTTCCTCCCTCTCCCTGGCTCTTAATTTGTTGTGAGTATCGTGGGTGAGGAGTTGGCGGCGAGGCCCAGGGTGAGGGCGGCCGTCTGGAGGGGTTTGGAGGGAGCCTGGAGCGGGAACTGCCAGGTGGAAATGCGTGTTTGGGTCAGGTTTATAGAGGTGACATGTTAGGGGTCAGGGATGTGGCCCAAGGTGGGGCCAGGGGTGGCCAGGCCTAGCCAATGAGACTCTCCCGGTAGCTCTGGTTAATAACGCTAATTTTCAATAATAAAATTGAATTCAAACCTAGCTAAACAATACATATACACCCAGCAAGTTTGACTTGCAGATTTCTTTTTAAAGTGTAGGAATGATGCTATAATAAATATGCTTTACATAATAGACTGAGCTCCTGATGAAAGTCATTTCCAAGATGTCTATTAATTAAGGCCTTTGACACTTGACCGTAGTTACCTTATCAAGCTGTCTTGCCAGATTGTGACCAGGTTTATAATTAACATTTATAAATATATAAATCAATAGTTAGGTAAAAGTACATACATACAAAATGAGTTACAAGTTGGATTTCTAGATAGCTTGTACATAATACGCCTAATCCACTAATTCACAAAGTGGTTGGGCATCATTCCTTCTCCCCGACCCATCCCAAATCCTTAACCTTGACCCCCTTCCCAGTGTTATAAAGTCGTAATGGCTTGGCACTTTCCCCTGATAATTAAATTTTTTTTTATCTAATACACACAGTGTTTTGGGCAAGTTGGGGAAAACCATAAAAACTAGTACTTAATACTAATTGACTTGAACTGAAGTTGAATATAAAAAGGATGACAATAATTACATGTTGAATGAAACGGCAGAAATTGCAAGTTACCATTAATTTATTTAAAAATTTAAGTTACGTTGTTGTCGTGGAGTCATGGTCCCTCAATTACACTTGGTTTGGTTCTCAATGTCAAGGACAGGAAGCCTGTTATTCTTACCGAGGCCCTGCTCAGTCAACAGTATTAAAGAACCTTAAAAAAAAGGAAACTGGGAAAGACTTTTGGGGGCCATATGAGGCAGCTATTATATCCACCCAGTTATTAATATATATGTCGAACCTTCTTAAACAATCCGACGATGCCACGTGTAATGTGTTACAGCCCATACCCTGTAATCTGTTCCATAAATCAACACCCTTTTTTCCAAGTATTACTATCTAAAATAGTATTTATATCCCCTTTGTTGTACTCGTTCATTTTTTCATATCTCCATTGTTATACTTGCTTATCTATTTATATACAGTATTTCAGTATGTGACTTCATACTCTCTTTTTTTTTTTCTTTCTAGAGAATATAGCTTAAGCTTTTCTAATCTTTTCGTAAGAGAGGTTTCTTATTTCTGGGATTAACTTTATCATCATACTCTGTGCATGGTCAAGTGGAACTTGTTTACTAAAGTATGGAAACCATAGTCAAAACTTCCCCAGGATGCAATTCCTGCCTACCTACCTAGGAAGGGGCATAACTGGCAATCCCCTCACAGTGTTCAAGAGAGAACTGCATAAGCACCTCCAAAGGTTACCTGATCAACCAGGCTGTGACTCATACGTCAGGCTGCGAGCAGCCGCGTCCAACAGCCTGGTTGATCAGTCCAGCAACCAGGAGGCCTGGTCGACGACCGGGCCGTGGGGACGCTAAGCCCCAGAAGCACCTCAAGGTAACCGCAAGGTAACCTATTTATTGGTAGGTGAACAAAGGCATCAGGTGAAAAGCAATGTTGCCATAATGATTGTCCTTCAGGAACTGATTCCGGGATCTTTTGGCTATGACCTAACTGTTCCACAGGACCCTAGTAACAGATACCATTATTGTTTGTTTCCATGCTACATCTTTTCATTGACTATTATTAATATTGGTGTTTTCAAGGACAACATACTTTGATCACTTTCTCTCTCTCGTATACACCAAGCCAAAACTATTTGATAGTGGCACAACTTATTGACCTCAAACCCAGACATCTAAATTAGCACAGTTATTGCTGAATTTAAAATCAGTATGTGGGTAACAAGAATGACTAACAAAATTGAGAGAACATACTCAAGATTTAGGTCCAGATAGATGCAGTCAACCTTTTTTTAGGTCCAGATAGATGCAGTCAACCCAACCATCTCTTTGCTATAAAATCTCTGTGGCTCGATCATAGAAACTGAGTAAATTCGATATACAGGATCTTCCAGATAGTAAACCATACTGTCTGTCTGATATTATATCATTTCTCTCCAGGTGTTCTACCCATTTAGTTTTTATTATTTTTTCCAATACTTTCACTATTACACTTGTCAATAATACAGGTCTATAATTGAGGGGGGTCTTCCCTGCTGCCACTTTTGTAGATTGGAACTATGTTAGCCTTTTTCCACACGTCTGCTATGTGTGCGTTGCAACCAGAGAGTCTTCAAATCGAGGTTGCCCTAATACTGTAGTTGCCAAAATTTCATCAAATTTGCAAATTTTGTTTGGCTACTGGGTGTTATTAATTCAAGCTTACTGGTTGGTCATAATTGTCGTGTGAATTCAATTTTCACAATTGAAAATACAGTATGGGTATAAAAAAATTATAAAAATAAGAAATTTGATATTGTTTACCATTATTTGTACATTTATTTTTAAATGAAATTCACTTCATCAGTATGATCAGTTTATTTTGTTTTCAGTTTAGTACTTAAGTCTGTCCGTATCGATGTTGGTAGCATGTCAGCTCGGAAGATCTTAGCCGTAAGTTTTAATCTTCCTCGTTACTTTTATTTCAAAATAAAATACTTTGAACTTTGCACTTTTGGTTTATACTGTATTTCCATTTCTTAACTGGAATGTCATCATAACTACTGTACCCTGTTTCTGATTCATGTGTTGCAGGTGACCCACACATGAGGCATGGTAAAGTATTGGAAACAAAAAATGGTTATTTCTTAAAGGCCTTTAGTAATATCTTCTGCACGTGATACTTTCTTAGAAAACTAAGTGTAATTACCGAAGTGTAGTTGCACCACGGGATGTAGTGTCCCGTCTTTACAGTACTGTCACTTGACGCTTTGAAACTACTGACTGTTTTGGCATCCACCACCTTCTCGCTTAACTTGTTCCAACCATATACTGTACCACACTTGTTTGCAAAAGAAAACTTTCTAATATTTTGATGACACCTTTGTTTCCTTAGCTTGAATTTATGACCTCTTGTTCTTGAAGCAGCAGGTTTCGAGGATTCATCTTTATCAGTTTTGTCGATTCCTGTTTCTATTTTGTGTTGCAATCATTTCACCTATTTTTCTTCTAGCTTTGGAGAATTTAATGACTATCCTCTCTCTTTAGCTCTTATTTTTCAGTTCCGGAAGCCATTTCGTATCATGCCTTTGCACCTTTTCCAGTTTATTGATGTCCTCATTGAGATATGAGCACCACACATCTGCATATTTCAATTTTGGTCATACAAAAGTCATGAAGAATTTCTTTAATACTGTATGTCACGATCCATGTATTTAAAAGCAATTCTAAAGTTGGAAAGCATAGCATATGCTTTCCTTTGTGTTGTGACTGCTATTCAGAACCATCCCTAGATCTCCCTCTTTGTCAGAATACCTTTCTACATAATTTGTAGTTTGTGTGCGGTCTCTCTTCTATTCCACATTCCATAACACGGCATTCACACTGAATTCCAATTACCAAGTGTTGCTCCATACACATATTTTGTCAAGGTCATCTTGAAGGAAATTACAGTACATTCCTCTAAAGTCTCTTATCATGTATGACTTGTTCTGCCGATCCCAATACCATGCCTTTCCCCATGTTCCACCTTTTGAATCTTTGTTCTTATAGGTATGAATTTATTTGGCTTTTCTACGTAGTCATTTTCCTGTTTTCCACTGCATCTGTAACATTGTATGCCATTCGTTTGGACGTCGAGGGCAGTATAGGGCAGAACATTTATTTACTCTGTAAAGGACCATTTATTGCCTGAATCATCACATTATTAATTCATATTGTCTGGGACAGGAAGCCCCTGTATATATAATAATTTAGGCTTGTATCAAGGTTCCCCAAGGTTGACCTTACCTTTCCCAGGATGCAACCCCACAACAGTTGCCTAAATCCTGGCTACCTATTTACTGCAAGGCGACAGAGGCATTAGGTGAAAGTAAATATGCCTTCTGTCCCACCCGGGAATCGAACCTGGAATCCCTGATAGTGAAGAAAGACAAACCAATTGTACTACGAGACCCTTATTTAGGAGATTTATTAAGGTACAGTATTCCAAATACTGTATACATATTTTCCCTGCAAATCCAATGGTAGTGACTTCTACTCTTGGGCTGGGCCCTTGCTTATAGGAGACAATGTATTGGTGTGCAGAAAAAATCCAACATTTTTTCCTTCCAATATTGTTAAAGTGCATTCCCTGATCACAGAAAAGACAAAAAAATTATGTAGCTTTGGCCATGGTGAAGCGAGGAAATCTCGCAGTGACATCCTGATTCATGAGTGTTCAGGGAGTAATTGTCTAGTCGTGGCTAGGCGTAGGGCAAGAGTTGCCACAAAGATATTTTTACATATTTCAATGTAACTGATTTGTTTTTCTCATTTTTTTTTTTTTTTTGCAGTAAAATTATTCAGTAGTGTGTTGTTTGAAAAATATGTATAATAAATTTGAGGAACATCAGAGTGCTCAAATATCTTCATGTCACTAATAATGTGCACCATTTTATATTCTTGAACAATAAAACCGTTTTTGCTTTTATTACACTGTATACTGTGTATACAGAGGAGCCTCAGTTAACAAATTTAATCCATTTCGACACCAAGCTCGTCTTGCGAAATGAATTTCCCCTTTTAAAATAATGGAAATATAATTAATCCGTCCACCACCGAGAAACATCAATGTGAAATTTAAATTTTTCTTATTTTTCATAGAAGATGGATCAGCCTACCTGACATCCACTGAACAAATCTTTTTGACATTTTTTTCTTTTTTTCAATGATTTTCAGTTTTTTTATTTATTTTTTATAGAAATGGAGCAGCATACCTGATATTCACTGAATGAACCTTTTTGAAATTTTTTCTCTTTCCAATTTTTTTAATTTTTTATATTTTTTAATAAAAATTTAGCAGCCTACTTGACATTCACTGAATGAACCTTTTTGACATTTTTCTTTTTTCAAATGTTTTCAATTTTTTCACTTTTTATTGAAAATAGAGCAGCTTACCTGACATGCTGAACAAACCTTTTAACATTTTTTCTTCATTTTTATTTATTTTTGTCTGAAAAAATCAATGCAACATTACAGCAGTCACCCCTTTACATCCCAGCATCATTAGCATCTTTAAAAAAAAAATCATTGATTTGCATTGTCGGAGGCATCCGAGAATTTGCGAGAACCAGCAGGAACACTTTAAGAAGCACATTGGAATCAGCACATAGTTTTCTCATTAACCGAGCAGAAGCTCGTCATTCGAGACAAATTTTCTGTGAGTGGCTCACTTGTTACCTGAAATGCTTGTAGATGGAGCCAACCATTTCCCAAGGTTCCTCTATATATAACTACATTTTCATGCATCATTACGAACCATTAAGTAGTTTTGTATGGTGTACTAATCTTGTAACTAGTTATCAGAGATCAATCTAGCCCTGCATATTTTGCATTAAGTTGTAGCTGCACTCATTGAATATATTAAATTTTTAATGTTTTCACCAAGGTATTTCCAGTACAATGATGCATTGGGCTGTCAATAATGTTATATGTATCACAATGTGTAGAATGTAAGTATGCACAGATATACAGAATTCATGTCACTAATATGGGCACAATATTGTATTCTTTGAACAATAAAACAATGTCTTTGCTGCTATTACCCTCTATACAAATACTGTACTGTACAGTATTATATTTAACTATTTACATCTTTGTGTATCATAATGAACCACTAAGCAGTTCTGGGGAGAGTTGTAATCTTGTAATCCAAGCACAGCATAGTGCCCCACACAAGTCAGTTGGTGATACTACCTGTCACAGCAGAATGCCTCCCAATATACAAGGCATACCACTAACTGTAGCCATAGCACTGCTATTATTATCAGAATCCTGGTCACTAAAACATGAATATGAATAATTTTCTACAAGTTTATTTTTGAAAGGAACATAAGGTCTGTTTCACGATGCTTTGAATCACAGAATCACAGTTGCGTAATATAGATGTCTCATATTGTAAACCTCATACCAGCATTGGGCTCACCTGATATCTGAACCATGTACATAGTTTTTATTACAGTCAAGATCTTCTATGACACTATCATCATTAAATAATTGCAGTTAATTATTTATTTAATCATTATTAAGTGATGCTGTAGGCATGAGTTGCATATGCTACTCATGTTTGCCCTCTCAGTACTGGGGCTCTCACACCCAGGAGGGGTGTGAAAGCAAGGGGTTTTTGTTGCAAGGTGGCTTCTGTTTACTAGAGGCCTGAGGAAGCAGATGTCCTGAAGGTATTTTAAATGTTATGCAATACTTTAAAACCTCCCCAACCATGTCGTGTAATTTACAGATAACTAGCAAGATCATCCTCAGCTGTGTTGCATAGTGGAAGGGTTAAGTCCATTGTTATCATTTAATCTTACATAAGCATAGTGAATCCTGAATTTACATATATATAGCATGTAATGTCCTGTGTGATTTTTATAAAGGCTTGTACAGCTCCCACACGCTGCTCTGTCCAAGGTCATGTTTGCTGCCATTGTTGACCAAAGAAGGGTCAAATATCACATGTGAAGAAAGGATAGGCATACACTTGCCACTTGTGTGGTTTTGTGTAGTGTTTATACTGCAAACTCTATTATTTTGTTATGTACTGTATTATTATACAGGTATTAAGTACTTGAACCTATATATGATATTCATTTGATAAATCCAATTTGTTGGCTCTTCTTTCTAATTTAGTACTTAGTTGATGGACATTGGTGATGGTGAAAAGTTTCCTATTTCAATGCTGTTATAATATTTTTTGCTCTCATTTATTACCCAACTCCTTATCATTGCCCACTTGTGCACTGGTATGGTTTCTCACCACAGGAAAGCACTATACACTATCCAGTTTGCTTTGATATTTTTTTTCCAGAGCCTTGGTGTGGCAAGCTGCACTTTATCCTGATCACTCTGGCCTATATTGATGTTTTGACTTAATTTTTCAACTTTTCACTTAGTTGAGCATTTTTTCAAATTTTTTGGTATTGAAACTTGTATTACACCTTATATATGTTTACTGGATGTTTCAAGCATCGCTAGCCATTATTCACTGGACATTTCGGGTATCACTAGTAATTATTTACTGGGTATTTTGGGCATCATTAGCCATTATTAACTGTGTGTGTTTCTAGTATCACTAGTCATTATTAGCTGGGTGTTTTGGGTATCATTAGCCATTATTCACTGGGTGCTTCAGGTATCACTAGACATTATTCACTGGGTGCTTCGGGTATCACTAGACATTATTCACTGGGTGTTTTGGGTATCACTAGACATTATTCACTGGGTGCTTCGGGTATCGCTAGCCATTATTCACTGGGTGCTTCGGGTATCACTAGCCATTATTCACTGGGTTCTTTGGGTATCGCTAGCCATTATTCACTGGGTTCTTTGGGTATCGCTAGCCATTATTCACTGGGTGCTTCGGGTATCACTAGCCATTATTCACTGGGTTCTTTGGGTATCGCTAGCCATTATTCACTGGGTGCTTCGGGTATCACTAGCCATTATTCACTGGGTTCTTTGGGTATCACTAGCCATTGTTCACTGGGTGTTTCAGGTATTAAATATTCTGCAATATACAGCTGTAGTACTTTATGGAGTAGCTTCTTAGGAACTATTTAACAGCCTTTCTTTGCTCTTCCAGTCCTTGAGTTTAATGAAGCATAATAGCTTAACTACTATTTTCATGTGCGGGGGCCACCTTAAGTTTTTCACTCGGACATCATAGGCATATTTGACAACAAATATGTACAGTATATATAATAAAAGGAGTGTGTTTTATTACAGGGCCAGTCAATAATGGAAGAAGGTATTCTTTCACTTCGGTGGAATAATCATCGTTCGACGTTTTTCCATGTTTTATCAACACTTCATCGTAAGGTAGGGTTATTCTTTAGTCCTGTGTATATTTTCAAGTCATATAGTATTACTGTTTGTGAAATATACTGTATTGTATTTTATACTTTATTGATTTTATTATTTATAGGTTCGTTTTATGTAAAGTGTCATTATAAATGTTAACAAACGTATTTCACTATTTCCTGTAGAATGTGTGATATTGTTTATGAAACTTTGTTTTACAATCTGTTCTGCTTGTAGTTGCTTTCTAAAAATTGTCTACGATAAAAATCCTGTTCCGAGGTCATGTTTTTTTCTTAACATTGCAAGCAGTCGGTGTACTGTGACCCGTGATAATTGAATATTTTGTTATAGAGCTGAGTAACTTTAGTTTAAAGTGGTTTGAGGCAGACAGTGTGTGTAAATAAATGAATTTGTTGGTATAAGCTTGTATACGTTTAAGATATTTTTTGTTTTCTTTACAGGAACTGTACAGTGATGTGACACTAGCGTGTGATGGTAAATTTTTTCCTGTGCACAAGATGGTGCTCTCTGTTTGTAGTGAATACTTTGAGGAAATGTTTAAGCAAACAAATTGCAAGCATCCAATAATAGTACTTAAAGATATTCTACACGATGACCTTGAGGCTCTCCTCAACTACATGTATGCGGGGGAAGCTAATGTTGTGCAAAGTGACTTAGCCAGATTAATAAAGGCTGCCGAGTGCTTAAGAATTAAGGGTTTGGCTGTCCCAGATGAAGCCCCTCAATTGAGTGACAGTAAAAGACCACACACAGATGGGCACCGGGATGAAACTTACCACCCAAAGCGGAGAAAACACGATGATCATTCAATATCCCCATCAAAGTCCAACCAGGGTCACACGAGAGAGAGACGGAACTCAGACGACAGAGACTCTTGCAAAGACACAAATGATACAGACTCGGTTAGTGATCATCAAACAGCCGGCCATCGTGGCCCAAATGCAGCCCTCCAGCATCATCATTCCTCGAGCCCCAACTCAAATCTGGAGATGGATCTTGGAAGATCCAGCAGAGAAGAAAATACCTGTACAGTCTCACAAGATCTTGCCGAGGTGAGGGACATGCATGCATACTTGTACATTTATTAATTATATTTAATCTTGTTTTTAAAGTTTCTATTGCTGTTGCTGCATTTGTTCTCTTTCTTTACTATAGCTGTTTTAAAGAACCTGTGTATTGAATCTGACTCGTACAAATTTTGTATATGTGCTGTACAGCTGTAGCATGTTTAGATATCCGTGATAGTGATATCTTAAGAGTTTGTCATGACCGTCTTTAATATTTGTTGGGAAGCTTCCATACTGTTGTGTATCTTGAGACCCCCTTATTGTATTGAGCTGAAACATACTACAATATTATATGATCATAAAAATTAGCCTCTGTTTGATAATAGGAGAGCTACACTCGTGGTGTCCTGTCTTCCCAGTACTCTGTCGTATAACACTTTGAAAGTACTAACGCTTTTTACCTCCACCACCTTCTCACTTAACTTGTTCCAACCGTCTACTACTGTTTGCAAAAGAAAACTTTCAAATTTTTTTTTTTTCACCTTTGTTTCATTAGCTTGAAACCATGTCCTCTTGTTCTTGAAGTTGCTGTTTTCAGGAATTCCTCTTTGTCAAATTGGTTAATTCCTGTTAGTATATTGTAAGTGGTGATCACATCACCTCTTTCTTCTATCTTCTAGTTATGGCATGTTTATCGCCTCTAGTCTCTCCTTGTAACTCATGTTTACAGCTCCGGAAGCCATTTTGTAGTTTGCTGCTGCACCTTTTCCAGCTTATTGATGTGCTTCTTGAGATATGTACTTCTTGTGCTTCTTCACAGTCTCCGTGGTGTAGTGGTAAGACACTCGCCTGGCGTTCCGCGAGCGCTATGTCATGGGTTCGTATCCTGGCCGGGGAGGATTTGCTGGGCGCAATTCCTTAACTGCAGCCTCTGTTTAACGCAACAGTAAAATGTGTACTTGGATGAAAAAAACGATTCTTCGCGGCAGGGGATCGTATTCCAGGGACCGTAGGATTAAGGACTTGCCCGAAACGCTACGCGTACTAGTGGCTGTACAAGAATGTAACAACTCTTGTATATATCTCTCAAAAAAAAAAAAAAAAAAAAAAAAATGGCACCATACAACTGCATTGTGCATTGTTTGTATTGACTTTGGTTCCACACAGACAACCCCAATACTACCAGGTTCTGCACTTTAGGTTGTGTAGGGCTACCCAACACCATGACCAGACTCTGGTGGGCTTATAATGGCTGGAGGAGTATGGGGATTTGAGATTAACCTAATGACCAAGTAAAACTACTCAGAAAGAATAGAAGCAAAACATCTGCATATCTAGCTGAAAATGAGAAAAGATAAAAAAGGGAAGGTGAGTTTTGCCCAATGTCAACAAACCAAGTGGTAGTAGCCCAGTGCACCACCAGATGGCAGCTGAGGTCACCCAAGGGTTCCACCTGCTTGCTTGCCTCACTTAAATGCAGCCCCCAAAACGCCCCTAATTCTCACTAGGAAGGGCATAGTAGGGCAGTTATGGAGAGCTATTAAGTTCGTCCAGAAAAGTGAGTTTTCTGTGGGGAGCCCTTTCGGCTCCCTGGAGATATCGGGCCGACATTATCTATACATGTACTGTATTAGTCTGGGGATTCAGTCGATTGGCCTACTGGGGACCATGAGCCAGAACCTGGCCCCCTCAGAGAGGCACAGGGAGTAATGGTCCAAGGAAAACCTCCTGTTTTTGTGAGTATTCTATCTGCCATAGACAAGAGTTAGGCACACAGAAAGATAGGTGTCCCAAAACAAACCTCACCAGGTAGAAAATAGCAACCTAAGACTGAACAGAGACCCAGAACTCCCTCCAGAAGATAAGAGGAAACAAGCAAACATCATCTGCACAGCACGCTGCCCCCCCCCTCTTTCGTAGACTGAAGCCGACTGGGGTGGTTGTCAACTCTGGCCTCGGATTTCTGTCAGGAATTTGTGCCCTTGTGGTGTTGCCTGCTGAGTGTTGTGCGGTGGCCAGGAGAACTTAGAGTACTGGGGCTGCACGTGCTTAGGGCTTCCTTCCTTCCCTGGGCATATGCAGTAAGTACTTCCCTTGGGTTCCAGGGTTATCTTCCCTGGGGGCTTCAGGAGCTCACTCACATAGGGGTTACTGCTGTTTGGCATTGACCCTGCCCTTGTGGTCAGCTGGGTTCTCGTGGCCTTTGTTTGGCTCTGGGTAGGGAGTGTTTTTATGCTGGTTTGGGCACAACGTGCTGTGCAGCTTGCCTATCTAGCAGTGGGGCATAACTGGCTGACCCCTCACGATGTTCAAGAGAGAACTCGACTAGCATCTCCAAAGGATACCTGATCAACCAGGCTGTCATTCATACATCAGCATGTGAGTAGCCGCGTCCTGGACTGGTCAACGCCTAGTTGACCAGTCCAGCAACGCGGAAGCCTGGTCGACGACTGGGCCGCGGGGACGCTAAACCCCGAAAACACCTCAAGGTAAGGTGGCCGTGTTTTCTGTCCCTCTGTTGTTGTTGTGCTTTCGCAGGGTTTTTCTTTTCTTTTTCTTTTTCTGCCTGGAGGGGTCTACCTGGCTTGACTATTCGTCTGCCAAGGGTTTTTTGGGTTGCCCTCCTCTAGTCCCCCATGCTTGCACACTTCTCAGGGGTTCACTGCACCCTCTTATCTTTGTTGTTGTTGATTACTATACCGGCTCAACCGGCTTTGCCTGTTGTCTGGGCTTCAAGCCCTGTCTGGGCCCTGGAAAACCCCGTCAGGGCTTGGTTGACCAATGGCTGTGTCCTCAGAGTCTCATCTCGCTTTGTGCGAGTGTGAGGATTGTTTGTTGCCCTGGTCTCGGGGTGACGATCACCTGTTTTTCCTCCGTCATGCTGTCTGTTGGGTTGACAACACCTTCGACCCGGAGTCTTGCGAGACATGCTTCCCGCTCGTACTCCAGTTTACCCACTCTTCTTCGGAAGTTCTTAGGGGTCAGGCGGCATTTGCATTACATAGTAGGTACAGGTTGTTGCAACACTATAGGTTGGTTGCCCGCTCAGATGCCCTGGGGCTGCCCCATTTTGGTTGTATGGACCCAGACCTGGGGGCATTTGTCGCTTTGACCATTGGTTCAGTCTGCACCTTCAGATCCTTCCCCAGTGGGCGTGGGTCACCCTGCTCCTCCTCCCCTGCTTCCGGCTCCCAAACATCTGAGGATTTTGGAGTCGAGGCAAGGTTTAGATGGTGACGAAACTCGGGCAGTTCTGGGGGCTGCCCCATTCTAGACGGAGAGGGAGGCATTCAAGCCTGCTCCTCCTGCTGAGGCTTCTGGGACTTCTGGCAATCCCCCTTCTTTGCTGCTTTTCCACTGGACTGACTTCAGGGGTGGAAGGCATGGAGGACAGCTCCGCCCCGGGGCCTGGTTTGGAGGCTTTTGGGACTGGGGGGGAGTCGGCCTGGGGTTTTTTGACCCCCTTTGATCCAGCTTGGGTTTTGGTACCCTTGTTACAGGGTCTGTTGTTACAGGATGTGGGGGGTTTTGTATCCCCTCCTTGTCTGTATGAATTTGATTTGGGGTCAGCTTCCTCCTGGGTTCTTTTGGGTTCTTTTGGTCCCTCTTTCTGGAGGTTTTCTACCTCCCGCATCTCACTTAAGGAGGTTTGTGAGGCCCTTGCTGCATACTGCTGCATATACCAGTTAAGTTCATAAATGACCTTCTAATAGAATTGAACTCAATATTTTGTGCATTTACAGAAACCCCCACAAAAGACCACATGGATAGTGAAATCTGGATCCCAAATTATAATCTATATAGATGTGACAGTAATTAGGTCAAATGGAGGAGTAGGTCTGTATATTAAAGAGGAACTGGCATGCACAGAGCTCCTGAACTCGACCAATGAGGTGGTAGAGGTACTGTACTTGGAATCAAGGTAGAAAATATAAATCTAATTATTATTTTAATATACAAACCCCCAGATGCAACAGTTGAGGAATACATGGAACAGATCCACAAAAAAGAGAATATCCTTGATAACCTAGCAAACCCAGTACCAGATATTATCTTCCTTGGTGACTTCAGTCGACCCGGTTTAAAATGGAGAATAGTAAACAATAACATTATAGCAGGAAATCAATCTGGAAATAACCAACAACAGGTCAGAGAACTACTGAGATTCCGTGACAAATTCTCGCTCAGTCAGCAGATTACAGAACCAACTAGGAACGAAAACACGCTGGACCTGATATTCACGAACAGTGATGAGCTAATCAGAGACATTACTGTCTCAGACACTACGTACTCAGACCACAAGCTCATTGAAGTGCAAACTAACATTAATAACGGTAGTAGGCCCAAGAGAAATAACCGAGAAGGGTTATTCAATAAGTTCAATTTTAATAATAAAAGGATAGACTGGGAGAAAATAAACAGGGAACTTACAAACATTCAATGGGAAAATGTTCTAAGAAATAAAAATCCTACACAAGGAATAGAAAAACTGAGTTTTGAGACATGTACCTTTGAGGAAAACCAGAAAGAGGTCCAATATAGAAGGAGAACACAGATGACATTACAAAAGAAGGAAGAAGTTGACCAGACCACACACTAGAAAGTGAAGGGACGACGACGTTTCGGTCCGTCCTGGACCATTCTCAAGTCGATTGTCTTGACAATCGACTTGAGAATGTCGTCGTCCCTTCACTTTCTAGTGTGTGGTCTGGTCAACATTTTTCAGCCACGTTATTGTGACTCATCGTCTGCAGAAGAAAGAAATTAACGGAAATGCTTAAGCAGACACGAGTTTCTATACAAAGAAGGAATAATTTAAACAGAGAGATTGAAGAAATCGAACAGAGACTGAAGCATTTATATCAGACGGAAGAAAGGCAACTAGAACAGAAAGCAATTCAAGAAATAAAGAAAAACCCAAAATCTTTCTTCACATATGCTAAATCAAAAGCAAAAACCACTGCCAGTATTGGACCTATTCGTATTAGTGAAGGTTCATACACTTAGGATGACAAAGAAATTAGCGAAATCCTAAAAAAACAGTA